CAAAATATTACAAATGTAACAGGCTACATATATTACATGAGCTATATATGCTATAACTATCACTAATAAAATATATACTATAACTAATATATGTATGAAATATATAATAAATATGATATATAATATAAATATAATAAGTGGTAAATGTACCTCAAAAACCATAGGTAATAGATATGCTACATGTAACGCATCTCCCACAGTAGTCGCTCAGCCAATCAGATTGCACGAATTATGATAAAAAGCTGGATCTTGATTATCTCGGGATCTAGTAATTGGATTTCAATGATTCTTGGCTCATTAGAACCGTTTTAGTGAGCTGATTCCAATGATATGTGTTTCATCCAATTCGGACTGGTGGATCGAAAGATATTAGGGAATTTGTGTTTTTCTTTATGTTTTATATGTTAACAATATCTATTAATCTCATATTCTTCATACTTAGATTTTTCATTAGATCAAATATTAACTAGCTTAACTATTAAAATCTGTACTACTTCATCAAACTCAAGATTTCACTATGTAGGTCCTTTGCCTGTAGATTCTATCAAGATTTATTCATGTAATATAACTTAAATATTGTATTACACTTCTAATATCTAATTAATATTAGTGCAATATAATTTACAGAGTTGTAACTTCTAGAAACAGACAGAGTTTACTATAAATTGGATACAAAGATCTAGATAATTATTCAAATTTGTTAACAATAGAATTTGAACTCAGACTTCTTGTATAGCGATCTAGTACTATTATTATATTTAAAAAATATATACTTATATATGTTACAAAGTTTTTCTAGAATAACTCAAAGTTTTCTAAGTAGTACAAAAATACTAAATCTGATTGGTTAATTTACATAACTCTATAAGCTAATTTAATTAATAGATTTTTATACCTATCTTTAAAAAGTTATATCTTATTGAGTTTTTAATTATATTTAATAATTTTACTATTATTAAAATCAGAAAGACTTGCTTTACAAACTTTTTTTTTTTTAAAACTTAAGTGATCTTGTTTGTTACTTTAGTAAGGCAAAGCTTAACAAGAAGCTATATAATAAAATACTATAAAAAAATTATACTAATTTACCTTCCTAAATACTGATCTAGACTTACTTAGCTACTTTTAAAGTACCTAAGTATAATCTGCTTTAGTAACAATTTCTTTTATAAAAAATATTAGACTATATGATAGCTTACTTGCTTTCTAATTCTAGAGAAGCTACTATTAGCCTATATCAAGACTATCTTGTCTTTTCTTAAAAACTTTTTCTATCTATATTCTAGCAGAATAAAGAAAAAATATAGTTCTACGAAGAAGCAATATAGAGAACAGAAAAAAAAAGGAAGAACAAAAAAAGTGAGAGTGACTAAAATCTATATAAGAAAAAAAAATAATAATAGAAACAGACAAAAAAAGTGAAGAAAAAAAAACTATTACAGTCTCAATATATACAAACAAAAAAAAAGAAAAAAGGTTATAACAAAAAGATGCTATATAATAAAAATTATATAGTATTCTAAATAAATAAAGCTTTTACTTTAAATCTATTGTATACTATAATAAAGACTAGTAGTATAAAGAAATTTACTAGAAATGTAAAGGACAGAACACTAAAACAAATACTATAAAATCTGTACACATGTTTGTTTATATCACTATTTTATCATTGTTGACTTGTACAAAAGGTTTACATGATATATTCTCTAATTTAGTAGGTATATTCCCAATTTGAATTGAGTAAATATTACTAATTGTTTTGAATATGTGAGCTGTATTACTACTTTTTTGTGAAAAAAAAATACCAAAAGCTAAATAATAAAGAGAAGGACTGTATAAGAGGAATACCAATAGTAAAGATTTGTAGGAATATACGTTATATAGAATAGTGTATTCTACTAAGTCTATACTTTTTCTATTGCTTAAATATAACTTGATAAATACTTCTTTAGTTGTTGCCAAAGCTACTTTTTTGATAGCTCCATAGACTTCTACTAGAGAGCCAAACTCACAAGAAGCAGACTTTTTCAACTTTGTTTCATATTGCTTACATATAATCTGAAGTCCTTGAATCTAGTTGCTACTTAGTAAAGTTTTGTTGTATAAAAATATACTAACTATATAATATTTGTAAGTTAGCATTTTATGAAAATATTGGTACAAAGGATTATCAGAAAAAGTTGAGCTTTATAAATTTTTTTTATAAATTAATATTAGTTTACTTAATATAATTTTTTATAAAATTAAATATAAAAAAATTTTATTATTAAGTTTATATATAATTTTAATATATTATCTTCTATTCTTAAAATTTTCTTGTTTCTTCTATTACTCTTTAGCAGACTTTTCCTTTCTTTTTCTTTTTGATATGTTATTTGTATCTTCTTGTCTTTTTTTTTTTAATTAGTGCTAATAATAATGTTTTTTAATCTCAATTTTGACTTATTTCTATTTTTTTTTCTGCTCTAGAAATAATTAAAATGATCTGTAGAAAAAGTAAAAATTTAAAATGAAAAAAAAACTTTATCTATTCAGTATATTATAAAATTTTTTATTGATATAATATTTTGTTACATTTTTTTTTTTTATTTATATATATCGAGACTATAATAATTTTCTTTTCTTTATTTTTTTTATTTTGTTCTGTTATTTTTCTATTTAAATTTAGTAGTTACTCTTTTTTTTCTCTTCATTCTTTCTATTACTCTTTTCATAAAACTCTTTTTTTTTATTCTACTAAAATATAAATAAAAAAAATTTTTTAAAAAAAAACTAAACAGTCTTAATATAGGTTAGTAATAATTTCTCTAGAATTAAGAGCATATAAACTATTCATATAATCTAATGTTTCTTTGAAAGAAATAGTTATTACAGCAATTATATTTAAACATTTTAAAGCAACTAAATAAATTCAAAATAATACTTAGAAAAATAATTTAGTATAGTCTATATAGTATTTTATCTTGTAGCTTTTTTTAAGCCTTTTTTTAATAAAGTGACAAACAAAATCACTTAAATTTAAAAAAATAAAAAATAAAAAAATAAAGTAAAATAAAATAAAATAAAATCTAAATTTAAAACAAATTTGAATTTATATAACAAAACTATTTATTCAAAATTAAATAATTTGTTCATATATGTAGAAATTTCACCTTCTAAGTAGGTTGTGAATCTTGCATATTAACTGTTAGCGCTTCTCTGAAAGTAGAGACGGTCTAAATATTTATTTTTTCATATGTAAAAACTTTATATTTTTAAAAAGTACTCTAAACTGTATAAATACAATTGTACCAATCAGAAGAAAGTTAGCCTATAGGCGCTGTTCCTTGTTGAGAGTACAATATTATTGTGCGCAGTAATGAAGTAAAAATACAAATAAAACAATGAATTTTAGGGCTGTTAATGAAGCACTCCGTTCCACGTTAATAACAGTAATATTATGGATTCTTACTATTAAAATGGAGTCAACGGAGTGCTCCATTATTAGCCCTAATTTAGTAGATATATGTTTTCAATCTCCTTGTGTAGAAAACACAAATTATAAATAATAATTTATTTTTGATTTGTTCGTTCGTTTAAAAAATGATGATTACCGTGTACACTACATACATAAATATTATGATACCCGAAAAAACAAATGTCATTAGGTATTTGTTACAAATTAATATAAGTGTCGGTATTAAATTGGCGCAGAACATTCGATTATTAAGCACTTATAGTATGGTCATAATCGATTGTTGGCACAACCGATGACATGAATTTTAAGAATATAATTAGATACCTGAGAAAAAAAAGAACAACATTAATCAATTGTACAAATAAATTTTATTTTATTTTATTTAAACTACTTACTGATCAACTCTCACTTGCGCTTGTTCTACTTGTGGCGCGTTAGGCCCTGCAACATTACCCATTTGCTGCTGAAATAATTCAAATTTTTTGACACTTTCTTCATTCATCTTTTCAATAATTTTTTTCATGACTTGAGCATGGCGACATGGATGAATACTAGCCAAAGACATGTTCAAATGTGGATGAGTTTCAATGGTCACAGTTTTTTTAGCATAGTCTTGAGAAATATCTTCAAATGTTTGGATCGAAGTCAGTGGTCGTCGATGCTACATGTCATTTCAAACAAATATATATATATGTAATATTCCGAATCCATTATATAAATTGGATATTTGTTTTTTAAATAATTTACCTCATCATAACCAAATAGCCACATTCGAGGTGTTTGATAATATTTATCATACGTAATAAATACATCGTATGTTCGTACTTGAAGAATTTTATCGCTATTATTTAGCATTAATAAATTGTTCAAATATTAGTCAAACAAATTAAGAAATTTTTATAAGACAAAATTAATCTATGTATACCTCGGCCCATCATCGTATGACGATGTTCTCACGTTGCTAGCTTCAGCTAACGTTGCCTAAATATTTATTTATGATTAAATATATAATAAAATTTCGGTAAAAACTGAAATGGTATACTATTTAGTACCGGGTCATCTTCTTCTGCTACACCATCTCCGACATCATCCATATCTGGAATATCATTGATATCGGGGATGTCGACATCCTCTTTGTCATTCGTATCATCTAATACAATGTTGGTAACTTTTTTGCAAATTTCGTCTTCATCTCCTTCAATTTGTTGCGCAATTTCCTCAATATTTGTTGTTGCTTTTAAAAATATTATGATATCAAATATTTATAAAAACGGATTATAGATCATTAAATGATAATTTATGGATAATTTACCACGGCCACTATGAGTAGCAACCCATGCATCTTCACCATTTTCAGTTTCAATTTGGGTTTCAGCATCTTCATCTGTATACTCCATCTGTTTTACGCGTCTTAAGCAAGGAACTTTTTTATTAAATCGTTGAAAAGTGGAATTAATTAAGTATTCTATTAATAAATTGTATGATATTTGGAGAATATTATACCGTTTCTCGTTATAAGAAATTGTTTCTCGACTGGTAGATAATCTCGTCTTTTGCTCACTTCACCGCCCTCCCTGAAACGGAAGTAATCATTAGATGAACATATTTATGAAGCCACTTTTAATGCGATGAGCTTAGATTAATACCAGTTCCAAGTCGGACATTTGTAGACCAAAAAATCACCAGCAGCTATGAACTAAATTTTTTTTCAAAAAAAAAAAAAAAACGAAGACTGTTTAAAGCACACAATAAAGAAGTTGTGATCACTTAATGAACTCCTGATTCTATGAATAAAAATGTTATTTTGTTTTCAAACCTCTTCAGGTGTAATGCAACCAGTTTCTTTGAACTTGGAATTTTTAAGCACGGGACTGAGATATTCACGAATTCCAAAAAAAATTGTCTGAACTGAATTCATGATTTCTTCTTTAATATTGTTACAAAGAAGGTCTGCGTATTTTTATATCGAACGTTTCGGTGTCATGTGGCTGCCCAGAAAGGATAAATGGCTAGTGTGTAATGGAGAGATTTTTTTAGGATGCATGTGATCTGAGCATGGTCTTTTGATTGGTTAATGGAATTTGACTGTAATGTAGATCGTTACACGAAATATTTATATTACGTTATCGCTATACAAAAACGTAGTATCTTTCACTTTATTTACTGTTCGCCGATTTAGGGTGTTCTTAAGCAACTCCCTCAATGTGACAAGCATTGCAAATAATTCTTATAGCAATTTTGTAGAAGACCCATGGTGTGAAATGCGGATATTAAGGGCGTTCTCAAGCAGCTCCCTCAATGTGATTTGAAAGTGATCAGAGATGTTGCTTAATCATTGCCATTAATTGAAGCGGTTATTACTGGTGTTTCTCACGGGACAGTTCGGGCCGGGTTTCAACAAAGATCTGGATCCGAACCGGAAAACTAGGTCGGGTCCAAGAATAGATCCATACTGTGAAACGTAAAAGTGACCCCGGAGGTACGTGAGGGTCAGAAGTCTATGTGCCGCAGTATTAACTTGCGGGTGTGTAGATCTTTTACCTTTAATGGGTTTTTCGGGGATAAAAGAGCTAAAACTCCTTAAACTGATAAAAGAGGTATAGGAGTTTTAATAGTAATGGGAGCGAAAGAAGATATAGGGAATTAATTGGTTCTAATAGTTTAAAACATTTAGAACATTAAAATATTTAAGTATTATAAGTAGCAAAAGAGTTATGTAAAGCATAATATTATAATATGTATATAATAAGAGCAAATTTGCTCATAATAAAAGATAACTCTTAATAAGTTTTGCTTTATAAAACTTTGAGTTCTTTATTAAATAATTATTGATTCTCAATACAATAAACTTCAAACCAATTAATCTGTTAAAACTTTTTTTAATGATTTCTTAAACAAAATGATGATACAAGGAAAAATTTTTTTTTTTTTTTTTTTTGTTATTAAAGCAGTTTATATTGCCGAAGGAATTTTATTAGAATTGCATATAGGATATCTATTGATAGTTTCTACTGTTTGTAATTACATGAAGAGTATACAATAAGCTACATATACAACTTTAGTCATTGTCTATTTTAAGTAGTCTACTGCACAGACAATTAGACTACCTGATTAGTTCTATACTATGCTACTATACCTGTAACCTGCCTGTAAATTACCTATTTAAATACTCTGTTCATTAATCTATACAGATCCAATCTAATATTACTGCAATACCTAACTGCTTAAGCCAGCTAGCTTATTACAGATCTATTTATTCAGAACAGCTTAGATCCTTTCAGAATATATTGTACATAACCTATTATAGGTATCACAAAACTAGTTAACCTTAAAGCATACCTATTAGAGTAGTCTATACTTATTTTATGAATTTATCTAGCTTAAACTTTTGTAGATATTTATACAACCTCAGTTCCTACTGTAGCTCTCTACTAGTTTTCTGTATTCTATCTTCTTAGATGTTTTACGAGACAGATCCTTTTAATTCAGTTAGCTATCAAACCAAGTTGATATGACTGATCCTTCCTGTAAAACAAATTTATATGTATCTAACTTGATCTGTATCTTTTGATAATAGTTTTCTTTTTGGATCAAGCATTAGCTGATATGACTATTGAAAGCTATACTACTTTACTAACTCAGGATTTCTACTATGCAGGTCTCTTGCTAATAGATCTTATTAAGATTTATTCATATAATATTATGTTTCGCTAAATGCTTTGTCATACTTCTAATATCTAGATAATATTAGTGCAATATGATTTACAGAGTTACAACTCTAGAAATGAACAGAATTTATTGTAAGTTAGGTACAAAGATTCAAGTAATTATTCAAATTTGTCAACAGTGAGATTTGAATCTCAGACCTCTTGCATAGTGGTCTGGTAATCTAACTACTACACTAAGGTTACTAGATCTAAAAAAAATTTATATATATATAATAATAACTTATTTTCTAACAAAATATATATAAATAAGACTGAAAAAATCAAAGTTTAGTAAAATATATTCTATCATTAAATAGTAGACTATATATTATTTATAAATTATTAGTATTTTTATTTTTTATTTTTTTTTTGTTATTAAGGTAGTTTATATTACTAAACAAATTTTATTAATTAGTATATATAAGATTGTCTATTGATAATCCCTTATAGTTTGTAATTATATTGTAATATAGTAACTAGGCTTAACAAATTTATAGATTCAAAAAGAAGTTGTCATCGCCAGCTAAACCTAGTAACTAATTACTTGACTTAATGAGTTCGAGAGTTAAGGAATGAGTTTATAAAGTTTATAAATAATAATAGTTTATAATAAGAAGATAATATCAATTTAGAGACAATAATACTTG